TACAGCACATGGTGACAACAAAACAACCTTTCCTCCATTAACTCATTTCTTTGTGACACTTATTAAAAAAGGCAATTGGGCACTGCACTATCTCTGTACACACCTTTTTCCCTTAGACCAGAAATCTTCAGATAATCTTTGCAATCTAGAATTTTTTTCTTCTGAATTTCCTCATCATGACTTCCACCGCTGATTCCCGTATCTCCTGACCCATGCCCTTCCCCACACTCTTGTCACACGCTGGCACATACAACACGAGATAACAGGCTTATCTGATCTTCCACGTGAATTGATAGCAGCTATTTGCATGTGTGTGTAAATTCTCGCAGATTCCCCGTGTGATCTTTTATCACACCAGTACAATTAGGGGAAGACGAATTGATTTCTGACAGCTTATCAAGACTTTAACTGCTGAGATGATACAAGGCACAGAGGGGAAAAGAAAAAACATAAGGGTTTCATTCACTGGGGGAGTGTCTTAAGAAGCACTGCAGATCTTCTCCATGAAAGAGAGAAGTAAAGAGCCACCAATCTCATAATAAAATTATTTACTTGTCATCTGTGTGACATGACTGTGGTTGGAGGTGCAGCAGGTTTGCAGTTTTGCACGTCCACCCTCAGGCTCACATGAAGAAAGAGAGAAGGTAGATGCCAGTTTACCCCAACTACAGCAAAAATAGCTTTGGCAAGTGTCTATGGCCTTGCTAAAGGACAGGGAGAGGGCATAATGACAGAGTCATGGACACACAGAATGGTTTGGTTTGGAAAGAGCTTTAAAGACCACCTAGTTCCAACTCCCTGCCATGGGCAGGGACACCTTCCACTAGACCAGGCTGCTCAAAGTCCCATCCAACTTGGCCTTGAATGTTTCCAGGTACGGGGCATGTACAATAATGCACATGTATAAATGCTAGTGGGCTAGTTTTTGGGGGGAGAGGAGTGTGTCACACTGGTCACTGCCACCTCCTTAATCCTTCACCAAATGGATATTTTATCACTTGCAATGAAAACCTGTGGGACAAGAAAAAGTTCTGATCAGATGTGGGAACTCTGTCAGTCAATCACCAGAATTTGCCTCTCCATTTCCAGCAAAGCCCATTTGCACAATGGGAAGAGTGATTCCTTGGCATAGCCCTTGCAAGAAAGCATCTCAGAAACTCATTGCAGCCTTTTATCCGTATCCTTGGCTGTAAGTCATTTCTATTAACAGTGCTTTGCTATAGATGTTTATAACAAAACATTAAAGACTTGGTGAGAAAGGAGAAAACAAATTACTCTGCAGAGAACCTAGCAACTCTGCTAAAATACTGTCAGTTATTTATCTGCTGTCGGCAGAGGTTGCACACTGTAATCCTCAACAGGCTCGGATTTGGGAGGGATGGAAAGAAGGGGCAGGGATTGAATCAGAGGACCTGTTCTCATGCAAAGACATTTTAACACCAATTTAAGCGAGAAGGTGTCTGCTAGAGAATGTCACTTTTGATTTTGATGCATTTCCAAGCAGGCAGGGCCTATGCTGGGTTGACTTAGCGGGAGAGGTGTTGGGGCTGATGCTGTATTTTAGGGCACTGGCGGTCCCTGCAAAGTGCTAATGCAATGAGGTCAGCATCACTTTGTTTTGAGAAATTTTCTTTAACAACAGCATGACTTCACAAAGGGTTTTTTTTTATGGTTTAGCCGAAGGGGGTTTTTGTTAGGGGAAGGGGAACACAGAAACACACAAAAAAAGTAAAATTAAACTTCCTTTTCTATGTTATTTTTTTTTTTACTCAAAATGAAAACTACATGTAAATCATCAGGGTAGACAATGGTTGTTAAGTATTATTGTATAGGACAATATCTGCAAGCACTTCGTGCTGGAATACAAGCAGGATACCACTGCCAATGTTTTACACACAAAACCCCCTTGCACATTACAATACTTGGCTAAAATTAGTCCGCTTTACGCGAAGGCTCGCACTAGGCCTAAGAAGGGGATGCTTTTAACTGCTGATGTCTGAATAAGGCACACAATGACTTCTCCTCTAATAAGGCAAAGAGTGCTTATTTTTGGTTACATTGCACCATGAAGGGGCTGCTTCCAGCCCCTTATTTTCACCTATGCCACCCGGGCCATGGGCTGAGGATCCTCGGCTTTTTGGTGGATGCTAAACTGGTGTCTTAATTTTCTAATTCATATTCATCAATTAAAAATAAACTATAATTTTTTACAAGTGAATTTACATAAATTAGTTTCTAAAGCATCCTAACACCAAAGGGTAGGAGTTCAGCCCGGAAGATTTGCATGCAGCATCCTCAGATGAAGGCAGGCGCTTTCGATTTCCATCGAGAGCCTTGCTGCGCTGGAACTCTAATGGGCTTAGAACAGTAAATTTTCAAGAAACTGATTGCTGCCCCCGTAGCTAGTAAATGCCTGCCTGGACCCAGTGGCATTTGAAAAAAGTGTTTTATCATAAAATTATCCCAGCAGAGTCCATTCTGGAAGATAACATCATCATCA